TTAATAAAGGAATAATGGATGTTATGGGATTAAATACTTGATTGTATAATTGTATAATGTTATTATTTCTGAGTTAAGGAAATTAATTATAAACCAATATTATAAACCCTGAACTTGAAATAATAATTAATCTGAATAATTGAAAACAATATTTAAAGTTGAAGAATTTAAAAGATGATTAATGGATGACCATAAATATTAAGGATAATGATGAACTTGAAAAGATATTGGAATAAATTAAATGAAAGGTCTGAGTCCCTTCCTAAAATAATTGAATCAGTGGTGCCTTCTAAAATGATGAAACAACAGTCTTACCTTTGGAAAAGGATGATAAACTTCTTAAAAGAACCATAAAGTCACTTCATCAGGTGGCTCTTGAGAAAATCAAGGACCACCGGTGACAGCGCTCCACTATCATTATTATTATTATCTTCACACGCTCTCCTACTGTTTTTAATAATAATAATATTATTATTATCTTTACACGTTCCTCCACTGTTTTCACTATTATTATTATTATTATTATCTTCATAAATCCCCTACCGTTTCCACTATTATTATTATTATTATTATTATTATCTTCACACGCTCCTCCACCGTTTCCATTATTATTATTATTATTATTATCCTCCACTATTATTATTATTATTATTATTATCTTCGTGCTCCTCTATCATTATTATTATTATTATTATTATCATTATCTTCGCACGTTCTCCCACCATTTTCACTATTATTATTATTATTATTATTATTATCTTCGCACGCTCCTCCACCGTTTCCATTATTATTATTATCATTAATATTATCCAATATTATTATTAATATTTAATATTATTATCTTCGTAGCTCCCCCACCGTTTCCACTATTATTATTATTATTATTATTATTATTATATTATTACATTTACTCGTTCCTTCACCAATCCTACTTTAAATTTATTGCTATTTCTGTTACTATTAATATTATTATATTTAGAATTATTGATATTATATTCGCACACTTCATTAATGGATGGGGCTATTTCAATTCCAAGTGTAAAGAATAAAATTTTTAAATCTTCGTACAACTGATTATCAATATCGTTTAAATCTCTATCTACCATTGTACGATTTTTATCATCTCCATCAATTCTGAAATAATTTCTTTTTCAATTATATAACCCCATTATTATTTATACATATTTCCTTTAGCTCTGAACACGCATATAGTTGATACTCTAAATCTTCTTCTTTGTACTATTATCCACTTTTAATATTAATATATTATTATCCGATTCTCCATTATCACCCAACTAGCTTCTATATTATTACCTACTCTTATATTATTACCTACTTTTCCTATTTCTATATTAAATTAATAAAAAAAATATCGAGTTTACCTTAAAATAACAGTGAGCAAGCTAGATGTCAAGTCAAATTAAATACAAGAGGAAGAATTAGCTGAAAAAACTAGGTGCCAAGTCTGAAAAGCAGGAATGGAGAAGCAGCATCAACACTATGA